ATAGCACAGTAACACAGAGCCTTACTAGCAGGTGCAATGTCCTGAGTTCAATTCCCAGTACATAAATTAAGATAGAAGTCTGCTGCTGTTTCGAATCAGCAAGTAGAACTCATTCCCACCTTATTATATTACTTTGGTTTTGCTCCATACATTCTATAAAAACATTTTTAACAAAATTGCAAGGATTTAAAGGTATAATAATAAGCTTGTCTGTCAATAAGTCTTGCTCTTCACATTGCTTTTCATCTAAGCAAGCAGGATTTTTCTTTTGAGACACCTGGCCAAGGACAAAATTGGGGTCTGGGGTTCTGGATTCTTATCTAAATAGCTAAAAGATCCTTGACAGCTTAAAGGTCCTAAGAGCAGTAGGTTGAAAAGCAGCCAACATATTTGTTAGTGAATGTGTGCTTATAGCCCCAGTGATGGACCAAACACCATAGAATGTGAAGATGTATGTAACAGAGATCCTGCCCTCGGGAGTTTATACAAATGGCAACATTGAATTAAGTGTCAACATACACTAAAACATTAGGTGTGCCTGGTCAAATACTATCTTCTCAGAGAAGACGATCATAGTAGTCCAAAACTGCATGAGAACACATTCCTGGAGTAGGTTAAAGTGGGTCTGGAAGATACAGAGGGTCTGGCTGGGTAGAAATGGGAAGGCTGGCTAGAGATGCCCATTATTACCAAAGAAACACTGTCCACAAACACAAAGGAAGAAAAAGATGCAGAACATCCATTGAACACTGAAGAAGATAAAAACTAAAATGTTTTCAAGAGACTAGCATACCAACGTGAAGAACCTGAGCAGCGTTCTTTAGCCTGTGGAGACTGAATGAAGGATGGTAAGCTATCAACGGGACTTCTTTGTACAGTGTTTCTCTCTGTGCCTGTGCTGCTTTTGTTCTCATTCCTCACTCCCTTACCACCGTCCTCCTCTTGGTACGGCTGGCCTCTACTCATACTTGGATGAAATATCCACTTCCTCGGGACAACCTACGCATATGATCTCTACCTGACCCCTGAACTGTCTATCACAAGATTTTATTTGTTTCTGTAGAATTCATTGAACTATCTGGTATAACAATGTAAATTCCTTTATCTGCCCAGCACTTCCACCAGCACTAAAACTCACAAAATTAGAGGCAACTTTTGTGGTGATACGGATCAAGAAGAGAACAGGGCCAGACACAGGTAAACACTCATTTTTTAAGCAGGCAAGAGGCAGAAGGAGGGAGGGAGACAGAAGAGAAGGAGGGTGAGAGAGAGAGAGAGAGATACTAGGAAAGAGAAGAGCAGGAGCAGACAGTGTGCCAGGGACCATGGGAAAAGAGAGTTTCAGACAGAAAGACATGAACAGCCTCAGAAACCATCCAATATGAACAGGGATGAGAGTAGAGTGTTTTTCCACTTGGAGGTCACCACCAATGTGAGAGAAAGTTTCAGCCAGGTAGTCAAAATAGAAAGCAAATTGTGTGGATTCAAGAGTGTGCTTTTGCCAGGTGTGATGGTACATGCTTGTAATCTCAGCACTCGGCAGGAGGATGCAGGGGTACCCCAAGTTCAAGACCTCCTTGAACTATACATAGTAAGACCCTGTCTTCATAAAACAAAACAGGAAGTGTCCTTCTGAGAATCCTGAGAAATAAAAATCAGAGATGAGAAATGGTTTGTATTTAAGGATAGCATGGACGACAAGAGACAGACCAAAGGCGGATAATGTGCTGAAGTTGTATTGCTCAGAGAAACTTTGAAATATTCCTCACAGAACTGCCTAGACACATAAGGCAGGAACCTAACATCACACTTGTTATTCCTTCAGGTCGGAATCACCGCAGAAAGCCATAAAAGAAACCTGATAATTGTAAGATCTATGCCAATAAGGCATTCAGGAGTGAGCATAAAACCAACTGCAGCGTGAGCATTGCCTGAACTACAAACCACAACCACACCCATTTATCTCCTCCACATAATTTTACCAAAATAAATACATGACTCTCACACCTAGGCATAAGGATTTATAAAATCTTCTGCCACTACATCACTGTCTTTCTGATCTTAAAAATTATCTAATAATTTACAACGGACCCAAATCAAGGATGGCATCTTCCTTTCTTAACTGTAGTTTTCTTTCTGTCTCTACATGGTGGTATTTCTTTGGATAAAGTTCTCTCTACCACTAAAATATGACAAAGGCATAATAGCCAACATGTAGCGTTTCTCATCTTCCCATTTCCGAATGCCTAACCAGTTTAATAATTTACTCCCTCTCAGTGCCTTGAAAATGAAACTTTTATCTTTGAATCCATCTATAAAACCATTCTTTTCTCCTCCCACTAGCTAAAGGAACTTCATTTATCACTCATTTTATGGACCTTATCTACTCTAGGAGAAATTCGATCAGATAACCTGGTCCTTAAGAAAGCAGAGGAAGATTACTAGGAATGGCTTCAATTGTTTGAGAACTTCTCTTTGATCTGGAAATTTTAGGATGGTTATAGGATGTCTCCAGGGTCTCTTGAATTATTGATGGTTCAGGAAATGATTACCTTGGCCTTAGAATCTGGAGAGCCCTTTTTAGAACATGCTTGCTGGATGGGATCCACAGAATGATTTGAAGATGAGCTTAGTCCCTAGTCAGAGGCTGCACATTCCTGGTTTAATGTTGTGATATAATATGACAGATTTATACTTTGTTCTGACATAATGAAATGCGAAGGGATGAAGTGTTTTATTTACACAGTAACTCTTATTTCAACAGCTAGCTGGTGTATAGGCTTTCTTGGCTTCCTCAAAAAGGCCTCAAGTATCCTGGGGAGCCTTGCAAAGCAGCCTCCCCAGTGTAGAAAGACCAAAGCACTACGCCATGAAGTCAGGAAGAAATAAAACAATAATATAAACAAAGAAAGAAACAACACCGAAAACCAGGAGACCTGGGCAACATCCACTCCCCAAAGGCATCGCTGCGGCCAAGGTGTTCTTTCTTTTGTCTGGATACAGGAGCCACAAAGCAAACGTGTATTGAATGAATCTCTTCCTGGCTTCATCATTCACTTAACACTGTTCCTCATTCCTTGGGTGAACGTTGTTTTCCTCCAGCAAGTGTAAGGACCTGCACGTGTACGAACACAAAAGGGATACAGCGTGGCATTCAAGGGAAAGCAATTTTGTGAAGAAACAAGACAAAAAAATCAATTCACTATAGTGAGTCCTCTAGCAGAAGACCTACCAGATAGTAGGGAGAGGAACAGAGAAGAGATTATTCCAACTGATATTGGGACCGTCGAAGACAATTTTAGAGATTCACTTCAGACACAAATCATTTCAGTGTTATGAACCTGAAACTGAATCTATCATCAAAGGAGCTTGGTTAACGCTCAAGGTAGAGAAGATGGGAAAAGCTTGCTGCTTCCTTTTGAACAGCACTCAAGCTATCATACTGGAAGGTACCAGAGTTCTTGGCCACAGCTCTTCAGGAAAATGAAAAGCACACGAGGGCAATTGAGAGATGTTGCCTGAGAGATCATGCTGTCCTGAGAGCACCACCAGAACCAGGCGCCACCAGAACCAGAACCTCTCACACCAGGAGACACCCTAAGTCACACTATATTAAGGAGCGAAGTATATCCTCCAGGATGGGTTTCCTGGAGAATTCAAGGAGAAGCAAGTGGATGCAAATACAAGCAAAACAAAAACACTATCATTACCACGGGCAGAGTGGGAGGTAGAAACCAAGAAGGGGCTGCAAGGTTGGCTTATTTTCTGCTGACTTTGTAAACTATTGGCTAGTGACATGAGACCTGCTGATACAGAATGAATATCAAGAGCTCCCTGCAGCCCAAGTCACTGCTCCCTCCCAGGATAATCAGGAGCAGAACCGAGACTAGCTTTTCTGGTCCAGGTAGGAACTTCCTCTTGTGCATGTGCTCATCAGGAATATAGTCATTTCAGTATGTGGAGGCTGTGTGGAAATCTTTCATGAAAAAGCAAAACATTAATTAACCCAGGGCTTTCCCACTGAACTACATCCAGTTCTATTTTTCTTTTTGATGAAGGGTCTAAATAAATCACTATTACACAGGCTGTGCTCAAAGTTTCAATCCTCCTGCCTCAGCCTTGCAGAGAACTGGGATTACAAGTGTGTGCCTCTGTACCTGGCTTTTCCTTAGTCATTAAAGAGGAAAAGGTAGATTTCATGGGAAGTCCTGCTACTCAAAGTGAGGTGGAAGTGTCTTCCACATCAGCATCACCTAAAGAATATTAGAAATGCAGAATCTCAAGGCCCAGCCTGCTGCCTCAGAGCTGTCTTATAAGAAGATCCCCAAGTGACCTGTAAGCAGGTTGAGGTTTGAGAAACCTTCTCTAGACCAGTGCGGCAGTTGAACATTGAAATCACTGGGAGAGTTTTTTTAAATGATCCCACTCCTCAGAATTCTACTTTTAAGGCTTACACTGCCTAAGTGATTTCAGATGTGCAGCCAACCGAGTAAAGCACTTGGAGGCCTTCTACTCCCTATGTCTGTGAGAGCCTCTGAAATCGCAGGAGACCTGGGTGCTCCTGATGCAAAATGAATATAAAGAGCTCCCTCCCAGGACAGCAGGAGTAGAACGGAGACCAGCCGCTCCGGTCCAGCTATGCAGATTCTTCCTGCTCATGTGCTCATCAGGAGTATTTCTGTCATCTCAGTATGTGGAGGCTGTGTGGAAATCTTTCATAGGAGAGCAAAACATTAAGCCCGGAAGGGTTTATACCTGCTTGTTGAGCTCATCCTCTGACTTATTATTTGCAGTTACAATAGGGTCCTTAGGATGTAGAAGGTAGCAGAGACAGAAAAACGTGAAGAGCCTCAAATTGGAAAAATGAACACACCAAAAACAGAGAAAAGTTACCCAAAGGAAGCAGCACCCAGCAAATCCCTGCCATGAGTCAGCACCCGGGAGGCCCAGCCCCTTCCAGGGGAGCCTGATTAAGGATCAGGCTCTGCAGTTGGGCTGGGCTGGGCTGGGCTGTTGCTTCTCTCAAGACCAAGTCTTAACAGCAACTTCCCTTCCTCTGCTGCCTAAACTTTTTTCCTGTGGCTGGGAAGAAGTGTCACCTTTTGCTCATTCCCATCCCCCCACCCCCTCCAGACAACGCGAGTGGAGAGCAGGAGCTGCCGTGAGCCACCCCTCCACCTCCTCGGTAACTGCTGTGAGCAACTTTCAGCTCCTCTCTTTGTAAAGCTATGAACTTCCCCGAGAAGCCCAGGAGCCAGACAGCTGCTTTTCTGCCTCTGTGCTGGCTCCTTTTGAAGATTCTGCAACCAGGGTGCAGCCACCTTTACAATGACCGCTATGCTGGGTAAGTGGAGCGACTTTCCTGCCCGGCCCGGCTGTGACTGGGATGCGGGGGCTGGTTCGCTCCTGCGTGCGTCACTTTCTACTTCGTGTCTTCTGTGTGAATCTGCACACTCTCCTGGCCCCTTATACAAAGTGTACATGCAACTCTCAGTTCTTCGGCTTGGCTCACTGGGAATAAGTGGTGGGCAAAAGTCTGGCTTTTCATATTTTGAATAGTGTGCCAACCTCTGCTGAGAAGCCGGTGTTCTATGGGATTCTCTCCGTAAGAGAGCGTGGCCAGTATTTGCAATATTTGCCTTGGTTGGTGCTCAGCAGGAAGGATGCTAGAACACCACATGAATTATGACCTGAAAATTAAAGTCTCTCCTTTAGAATTGTGTGCAGAACGGTGGGTTGAAATTCACCCATGATTAATTTAAGAACTGAGTGTGACTTTTTTTAACGCCTGTTAACAACCGCTTTAAAGTGGTTGTAAGAAACATTTTCAAATCTGAACCATACAAATTATTCAACTGAAAACAAGCAGAATACAAGTAGCCAACCGTAAAATTATGAGTATTTTTATGATGGAAAAAAAACAATATGTTTTCTCCCCTGTTTAGGTTAGTGTGCTCTGTATATGGCTTTCTTAAGGAGGCCCAGGGCTGGGTAGAAAGCAGTGTATTACGATGCATGTTCTTATTATCCTGAAGGCTTGCCGTGGTGTAGACAGCATGTGCTTGGCTCAGATTTGGAGGGGGCTATTCTTCGAACCTGGAAATTACAGTATGCCGGCATTTTAGAGGTGGAAGCATCTTAAATACTTTCTCTAGTTCAATTGCTTAAAACACAGGCGGAAAACCAGTGTCTCAAGTCCTTTTTTAAAAAACAAATCTACTATCTCAATAATAGTCAATTGGGAAAAGCTTTCGTATATATCTGAATTATAACCTGGTAATACTCCATGTCTTAAAGAAAAATTGTTCTTTTCAGGAATAGTGTAGAGAGGAGTTTATAAATGTGACACTAGAAAAGAAAAATCGTTTCCTTTCTCTCCTAAAAATAAATTGGGCACTGTCTTTAGTGTTTGCCTGAGCACAGTGAGGACAGAGGAAATTTTAAAAACATGTCCTCAGTTGTAGAGGATGCAGGATGGGCGTGGAGGTCTTGGTAGAGGTAGGAGTCGCAGGTGGTAATACGATCCCCAGTTTTTGCACCCTGGTGTTCTTGGGAGGAATGGAAGGGAGTTAACATCTGAAGGCTGCTTTCTGGTCTCCTGAACACACACGCTCCAGGCTTTATATCCTGTTATCTGTTACCTCCCTTGGAAATACTGGTTAAAAACCTCGTGTTTAATGACTGATAGTGCAGCCTGAGGCTGTGGAAGAGTTAATTCTGACTCTCCTGGCTGACATGCAGCCCCATGAAAAGCAGGTATCACAGAGTTAGATGTGCTTTTGTGACACAGAACTGCACTCCTACACTCAGCTGTAGCCCCGGCCATAATTATTTCAGTGTGTAGTGCCCCTTGGTGATAACTTCCTGGGCCTGCCTCAGCTGAGCAGGTGTGCGCCCTTCCCGAAGCACCACACTGTAGGGGAAATGAGGCCGGTGGCAACATCTTTTCCAGATAGAATTTTCCGCAACTGGAGCCCTGCTGGAGGAGGCTGTGCTCCCTTCTCTGTTGTTCTGCAGTGAAAGTAATACTTGCCATTTTCTCTTTGGCTGCCACATAATAAAAGAGTCCCAAATGTATAAATTACCAGATGTCAGAAAGTTGGAAGAAAGAAAAGATGAAAACATGAGAAGCTGAAGAACTGAGCCTTAGCTGTCCATCACAACAGAAGGTTAGAGCCTCTTGAAAACCAGAAATATAGGAGTGTAAGCATCATTAAAGTAAGGACTTTAACATGTCTTCATGAGACAGATATCATTCTTTCATCACCAAAGACAGAAATGCTACTCACATTTGATAGTATTTTGTCTGTTTACTTAGGAAACTACTTTTTGTATGTTTAGATTTTTAAGGGACAAGAATCTGATAGGAAGACATAGTGAAACGGTATGTAGCATTATCTTTGAATGGCGGTGCCCGTTCAGCTATTCTAACCCACTTCATTTTTATCCCTTAATAAGGCAAGCCGATTTCTTACATTCATGTAAGTACATTTGGTAGGTCTTGATTAAATTCAATAATATGTAATTATCATTTGCAGGACCCTGAGCATGAATAAAAAATAGGTCGGGAGAAACTAGCACACCTCCTGAGAGCACCTAAGGAGCTCGGTCCTCTTTGTACATAAACTAGTAACAACTGGAAAGGGCAGATCCAGTGCTTAGAAAATCACAAACTTCAGTGTCTTTGGAAAAAAAAAACAAAAAATGTGTGGAAAGACATTGGAGAAATATAACTATATTATTATATGTTTACAAAGAAGGTCCAAGTACATAGAAAAGAAATAAAACAGAGTGAGGAAAATAATTTGACATTAAGTATCATTAAAGTCGATACTCCACTGTCAGAGGGTCTTCAGAGACTACAAATGCCAAGTCAAATTTTGGGTGATAATCAAACTGCAGTGGATGTGTGAGTCTCCTACACAAGCAAACATCACTGTGTGCACTCTTCTCTGCCTTCCTCTCATTTTCGGAGAAGCAGACTTAGTTACTTGTTGCACTATGATATTGAGAGCAAGAAAACAAAAAGATTCCCGTCACAGGAAATTAGGGTAGATTCTTTTTTTAATTATAGTAAAATATATTTAAGGTGGAAAACCAATAAATGCTGGCAACATTATAGAGTTAGCACAGCTATGACTTTTGAAAATCATTTATTTACTTCTTCACGTCAGTGGGAGTAGCATAAATCCTGAAGTTCAACTGCCTGGATTTCAGTTCCTACCTTTCCACACTTAGTGGCTCTGTTTCTTTGGGCAAATTCCTTAATATATTCCAAGTGGCTTGGACCAGTAGTAACACATGCATGACTGTCCCATAGGGTGACATATCCACCCAGTGGAACTGTTCAACGCCACCCAATGAGACAGTCATGTAAGTACCACCAGTGGTCCAGAGTCACCCAGCAGACGTGCAAATTATGGCCCATCTAGAATGTGTTAACCTCTCTGAACCTCAGTCTCCTTATCTGGGACAATGGGGATAAATTCAGAACCTCCCTACAAAGAGTTGTGAAGATGAAACAATAGCTGGATATAGCACTGCCCTTGGCACTGAGTGAGTACTTCAGAGCGTGGTAAAATAGCTACTATTTATGAGTATTTACTATAAACATGTATAGAAATAATGATAGTTCTCACTATAACCTTGCGCCAGTGGTATTCACATTTGACAGATAAGCTAAACAAGGCACAAACTGCCCAAGTTAGAGCTCACTAACCCAACATCACTGCAAGGGCACCGTTGGAATTCTAACCCAGCACTGCCTGATTCCTCAAACTACTTCACAACCTGTCACTCATGTTGAAAAGAACTGGATTTAGAAAGCAAGTGAAGGACTTAATCTTGTTTTCAGAAATGATAATTTCAGGACAATACAGAGATGAGGTAGGTGAAATTAGAAGTTTAGCCTTGGTCTCCCTCTCTATGGTGATGACAAGTCACTGATGGTGAATCATTGTTAAAGGCTGGCTGGCAGAGCCCATAGGAATAGAAAACAAAGGACAAGGGAACTTTACACTGTCACATACACACTACAAAAAGTAACACCAAGAGTGGCAGTAGTCATGTGCCTCCATTCATCCAAGAACTATTTTTTGAAGACCTTCTGTTTGGTGAAGACACTGACTGACAAAGTTAGTGCCTTCTGAGAGTTGCAGTTTAGTAAAGAAAACAGTCATACATAAAATGAGTACAGTATACACACTGTATGGTGTGAGCAGGCTCTTTTGAGGATCCTAAACACAGTGTACCCAAAAGGAAGGGTGTGAACCCCCTCTAGGATCAGGCCCATTCTGATCTCTCAGCCCTGTGGTAGCTTGGTGGAAGATGCTCTGAGAAGTGGCACTCTCATGTTGGCTGTTTTGTGGGACTTGACCCTAGCGGCTTCGGATGTGTTTGCCAAAGACCTGTGGGGCTTTTCCTTGCTTGTTGCTGCCCTACATTTACTGAAGTCTCTTCTTATGTCCCTGGGCAGTTTCTCCCCCTTCTTTCTCAGGGCTGTAGCTGTGATGAGTCTTTTCCCCATGACCATGGGCACAACAGCACTGGTTATAGAAGCTGGATAGCCAGCTGGTTGCAGTTTTGTTTTGTTTTTGTGCTACTGAGTGATTGAACCCAGGAACACTCTATCAACTATAAAACATTCCCAACTCCCTTCTTTGGAGACAGGGTCTAAGTATCCCAGGAGGGACTGAATTTTCAATCCTCCTGCCTCAGCCTACCTAAAGGCTGGTGCTTTCTGATGAGTCAATATCTATGTTGCACCCCCAAAAATATATATCTACACCCACAGGAATTTGTCCATAAATTCACCAGTCATCTGCAGAAATAGCATATGAGGGTTCGAAGAAGTAGATCTGAAGAAAGTAACTTTTTGTTAACAAAGTAGTTTGGTCTTCAAAATCCTGTAAGCCAAGGGTCCCCATGTTGGAAGGTGACATATTGAAGAAAGGAGAACCAGGAGAAATGCAGTCACCTCACAGAGCAAATTCAACCTCAGAGACGTTGTTCTTGTTCTCCATCTTATCTCTGGATATTCTGTCTCTGGCTCTCAACTTCCCTGCAGGTTTTAGTTCTTTTATCACCTTTGAATTCCCTAAGACTTAAGAACCAGGTCCAGAGTACAAGAGACAGGAGCTGGTCACATGAATCTGAGCTTTATCTTCTGTGCTGGTAGTTAAGCTCTTTTCAGATGAGATAGCCATCAATTTCCATTTGTCCAAGATTGTCAGGGACCAACCAGTTTGTGCCTGCTGATCTGGCATAATACTGTAATTACCAGTGCCTCCTTTCCATCTGAAAAGCGTCCTGAGTTGGGACAAACAGGATCAATCTGTAGGATCA